CCTACTCCACCGTCAACGTCAACGTCAACGTTAACGCCAACCCCAACCACCAACACCAAAAGAAAAAAAAGGACAACAATATTATTTTTTATCTAAGACGTAGAATTTTATTTTAAAAAGCACGTGCATTGAATGATTCTTAAGTCAGGCTTGTCAGAATGCCCACTTTTGCGGACCCCATCAAATTAATTACTGCTTAAAATAGTGTGCACGCCCAAACTTTTTAAACACATTATCACTAGAGAATTAGTGAAAGTCATATAAGCGTGAAAGTATATCTTCTTTAGTAATGATTCTTGGCCCAAACATTAATATATGTAATTCTTGTAACTCACAAAATCTTTATCCATCAATGAATTAATGTGGCAACTCATCGGTGCTTAGGATAAGATGAGCACCGGTGCTCATTAGATCATTTCTGTATATATATAAGGTCTGTTGTATTGTAATGATTATAAGTAAAATTCTTAAGTCTCTTTCATAAACTTAAAGAGAGTAATAATCTAATAACTCTATTATAGTTTTCCAAAGTGTGAGACATTTGGAATTTTCTTCCTTTTTGGATTCAATTTAACATGTAATTGTCTAATTTAGGCCCTCTTTGGTACACATTATTTTTTTCATTCTCATTCTTCTACTCATTTTCAACCACACATTCTTCAATAAAATAATATTTTCCATCACATCAATAACTTTTCCTTCATTTTTAACNAAATAATATTTTCCATCACATCAATAATTTTTCCTTCATTTTTAACCACGCATTCTCCATTAATCTATTATTCAATAATACATTCTTTCAAAAAAATGTGTGTCAAACACACTCTAAGCATATAAAGTTGTGATTTACTAGCATCGGTGTTATACACAAATAAGTAAAAAGGGCTAGTCATAAAATTACTATTATAATATATACGAATATTTTTTACTTTATTTAGTAATCGTTTTCAAAAAATCGAAGTTATACTTGTATTGCCATTAAACCCCCGTTTGGTGCACATTTTTAGAAAAAGAATGCATTTTTGCGGTTGATATGATGAGAAATAGATGGTTGAAAAAGAAGAAAAAATTATCGATGTGATTGAAAATATTATTTTATTGAAAAATGTGTGGTTGAGAATGAGTTGAAGAATGAGAATGAAAAAATTAATGTAGGTCAAACTCCCACATTTTATAGTTAAAATTTAATTTTCCATAAATGCCTGGCCTTTTTCCATAAAAATCAATTAGTAGCAGACAATTTTCTCAATTTTTCTTAATAAAGGTTACAACAAAAATTATATATATATATTTTATGCCCGATCTTGAAATTTTGCAAAAGACTAGCAGGGGCATAACTGAAATTTATCCCAAACTGTGGGGATACAAACACAGAAAAAGAATTGGACCCGGAAATTGCTTCGGCACAACGGTCAGAAGCTAAAGCGACACGTGGGATTTTGTGATCTCAACGCCACGTCATCATCAAATATTATTAATAACCGGAATCCTCGAGATATATAATATTAGTATAACATTACTAGGATATTATTTCTCGAGAAGGCTATAAATATCCAGCAAATACTCCCCAAAATTTCTTGATTTCTCTCTTGCATTCAAGAAAAGATCTAAAATTTATCACCCGAAATTACGAAAAAAGTCTTTACAGTTTGATCGTACGGAAGAACGAAAATAATTGGCTGAAGCAAACAGGGAAAAGCTAAGATTTTTTGAAGGAGACGCAATTTTGGAGAAGGGAATCAGTTGAATAGTTGCATGTCAACTGAAGTTGGTGAAGGGTATGTTGATTTAATCTGATATATTGCGTGTTTGCTACAGGTTTGTGTGATTTTTATGGATTGTTTAATTTGGGAAGCTTTTTGGGTTCTTGTTCAGGTGGGTATTTGGGAATAATTTTTGTTGATTGATTCTATTAGAAATTTTTTTTTTTTGCTTTGATATTAGGTTTTTTTCTTCTTCTTGGAATTGATTTGTAGGCTGGGAATTTTATGGGGCTCTATTAGAATTTATCTGCTGAAGTTGTGGGTATTATTTCGACAGTAAGGTTTGAGGCTTTTGTCCATAAGAAGATTGTTCGGCTATGAAAAAATAATTTCTTTTAATTAATAGATTTGCTCCAAGAAATTGGCACAATAATGTTTTGGAGGGGTGTTCTGTAAATTTCTTCGATTTTTAACTGATGCTTGTAACCTCTGCTAGCTAATGTTCCTCTAGTGGCAGTGTGACTAAATGAGCTTAGTGTAAGTGGAAGGCTTACATTCTTTTGCTTGTGCAGTCTGATTGCTAACTTGTGTGTTAATTCTTGGTAATGATAAGAACGACCTCTATAAGCATTATTGAGTGTATCTTAATTGTTCTGGTGGAGTTGAATTGTTCTTTTACTTGGGAAGATGGCTGAAGGTATGTTCTTTTAGCAGAAAACCACATATGGGATTTCCCATTCAAGCTTCTAATCCGGTGTCTCAGCCCTTGGCCTGTTCAAGAAAGAGGAAGTCAAGAAGAAAAAGGGGTGAATCTAAAAGTGTAGAAGAAACACTTGCAATGTGGAAGGAGTACAATAATACACTAGAATTTCTGGATGATGAAAATAAGCGCAGGCTTAGGGCCCCTGCCAAGGGATCAAAAAAAGGATGTATGAAGGGTAAAGGAGGTCCCGAAAATGCTCGTTGCAAGTACAGAGGTGTGAGGCAGAGAACATGGGGTAAATGGGTTGCCGAAATTAGGGAGCCACACGGGGGAACTAGGCTGTGGTTAGGTACATTTAGCAACGCAATTGAAGCTGCTTTTGCTTATGATGAAGCAGCAAGGGCGATGTATGGAAATCGTGCTCGGCTAAATTTTCCAATTTACATTTCATCGAAAGGCAAAGAGTTTTCTTCAATGCCGACTACAACTACATCTAACTCCATGGAATCTAGTCTCTCTGAGGTTTGCCTACGTGATGGTGTAACAGTGAAGGCCAACGCTTCCATAAAGCAGGAGGATGGTAAAGGTGAGCCATGGACTGATGATAGGTCTCTTGTGCTGCGCAAGGCAGATGACCCCATGAGCACTACGAAGGAGCAAGTAAAGAAAGAACTGGTGAAGAACTCAGCAGACAACACTCAAGTTGGTAGGTTCGATGTAAAGGACCAGCCTACTATTGTTAATGGCCTGGAATCTCAGACTGGACAACATCAATTAGAGAACTTTTCATTTGACGAGATGTTTGATGTGGACGAGTTACTGGATGCTTTGGATTACGTTCCTTGTGTTTCAGGGCCTCAAAATGGAGTGAGTTCATATACTGATGAAGCTGGACTGGGTGCCTACAGCAATTTACAACATCCAGACTTTGCATACCAGTCCAAGAACTCGGGCACAAAGTTTCTTGGCAGTTCGCCCCATGTGGAGCAGGAACCTTTAGAAGTTGATTATGGATTTGATTTCTTGAAACCTGGGAGACATGGAGATTTTAATTTCACATTGGATGATTTGTTCCTTGATCTAGATCCCAACTTGCTGCTATAATGTGCTGGGGATTGTACAGGATTATCAATCGCATTTCTTGCTTGCTGAGATGGAGCTTTGGTTTTTGGTTTTCAGAAACTCTTGAACATAGGAACAGTAGTTGACATGGGAGTGTTCTTTTTATACCAATTCCCTTGTCTTCTATGCTAAAAGATCCAATGTTTTAGATTGGATGAGTATACTGACTGTAGTCTAGAATTAGTATTTCTTTCTAGTTATAACCATCTTTCTGTACAGACAAAACTATCCAGTGATTATATAATAATATGATGTTGCATATTGTGCTCTACAACGCGCATATCATGGTAGAAGCATCGGAATTTTATGTTCAATAATGCACTAATGTCTACCGTTACTACTGCAAGAACATAGAAATGTTGTTCGGCAGTTTTTTATCCTTCTTCCCCGTCCTTGTCCTTATGTTAAGCAAGGGTGGTCTCTTTGTTGCACTATCCTCGATGACTGGTTCAAGATTAACCTATTCGAGCATGATCCGTTGTAGAAAATATTTATTTGTTAAGATGGGAAAGAAGCATCGATTGTTTAGCAGTACAAGATAAAGGCGTTTTCAATTTTTAAGTTCAATTTTAAGAACTTTGTTTTCATGGTGAGGAGTTCTTCACAATATTTATGTTACAAAAAAAGAAAGAGTTGAACGAAAAGAGTGTGTGTGTGTGTGGGGGGGGGGGGGGG